CCCTTCCCTCCCCTCATCCTCCTCCTTCTCTCTCACATATACTAGTACATATCTCGCTGCCTGAATCCTGCTTGCCTTGTTTCAATCGTTGATATCCAGTCATAGTGTGCCAATCTTTGCGCATGGCGATGATAGGCCAGTCTTCACGGGAACTCGTTTGTTAGAGCTGACTCGGAGGCAAATTCGAGCTACAGCAGTTACTCACATACTACCCCGTACTCCGTAGTAGATTACATACAGGTACTACTGCAGTGAGTACGACCACCACCGCCACCAATCACCCGCTCATAGGCAGCCGCAATCGTGACGACTAGTATCGGCTTCACTTTGTTCTTATTCCCACTACCCTCACAAATTTCTCTCCTTATCATCTTCTTTGCCTTCTTCCTTTGTCTACACGCCGACGCATCTGGTAATTTCACGACTTCGACCTTTTCGCATGCAACCGCTCGCTATCAGTCCTGTTCAGTCTACTCCCTAATAACAGGAATACTTCTTTACAACTTGCGCACTATAGCATCCCTCGTGTCTGACTTGGATGCCCTTCTGGGGCCTCTGGGACCGAGTTTCTCTTCCCCGCGACCGCTCACTAGCTCCAAAGATGTTGAAGCCTTTCCAAATCAGAGATCTCCACCGGTCTCCATCACTCTCGTCCTCAGATGAAACCTCGGATCTAGACCACCCCTTGTCTCCCACAAGACGTACGGGTATCGTGCAGCTATCAGCTTCGCAGTATGATAGCTTATCGTCTACTCATCCGCGAGCCCGTTTAACATATAACGACGAAGATGATGGGGAACTTATCACGGTACGAGTCCATAAGTTTCGGTCGTGATCCGAGTACTGATATATGGCGATAGGTCGGTTCTTCATTTGAGCTTTCACAGCGACTCGAAGAACACGTTAATGCAGATATCGACTATATTTCAGTTTCGCAAACAACCCTCGAACCGATGCATGTTTTCGACATTCGACGGTCAAATTCAGTAACAGAGCTCTGGAAGAAATACGAATGCAAGCAGGGCAAGCAGGGCAAGCAGGCCGTGCAGGAAAGCAAGGAGATTGATGACGCACCGGCCGAGCCCACACCTGCAGAAACCCCTGCCCCGGCCATTCAGCAGCCAGGCGAACATCCGGATTTCTCTCCGAGAGACGCTCATGCCACCGAGAACGAAGAATCTCCATCGCTTTTGGCTGCATTCGAGGCTGAGATGGCCAAGTTTCTCAGTACTCCCCAGCCTGCGGCCGACACTACACCCTCTGCACAGCCTTCGACCTCCACCTCTTCCATCCAGTCATATCCGGACTCAAGGTCGACCAGGTCTCAGAACGCAACCGACGCATTTACTCACGCGATGCAAAGCTTGATCGACGGAGCAGAAATGCTCAGCTTCGGGGTAATGTCAAGACTGCCCGAAATCGAAAGACAACTGCAGCACGCTCAGAGGGCCATACCCGAGAACGTTGGCTCCTCTATGCAGGGAGCTCTTGCAACCTTAGAAGCTCAGCTCAGACAAGTGACCAATTCGCTTAGCAATTCCCCAGCAGTGAGTGCACAAGTGGCCAGCATATTAGAGGGTGAGCTTCCCACAGCTACGCGCACGGCTGAAAGCCTGCGCTCTATGGCGTCCGAACTTGGCAACCTTGGCCACACCTTGTTCGAGGCTTTTGAGGCAGAGCTTGGCTGCACTCGAGCCCGGCCACAGCAACAGTCACCTGCTTCAGCTGCGGAGTATCAGAACTCAGAGAATTCGGTGCCAGACAGGAATGCCGACATCACTCAAGCAAGTAATGCGAAGCCTAGTTCAGAGCAGCCGGAACCAACTACAGGCCTTGAGGAGAAATCATCCACAAAAGAGAACGACGAAGCGCCCGATGCCGGATTGCATGAAAATGCGTCTAGCAGATTCGAGCCTAGTAGGCACACATCAGAGCCGATTGTTCGTCCTTCGGATTATCTTCGGAGGCCTATGAAGCTCGAGCCGCTTATGCATCATCCTCACTCTCAGTATCACGAATCTTCACCTCATAACCACCATCCACACGCTCCTCCCCATCCTCCTTTCTTCCATCCACCCCCGCCACCTCACTGGCCACCACCTTTGATAAGCCACCCAACCTGGCCATTTGCAACCCCACCGGAGCTCCATAACGGGTACCCCTCTGCGCCCCCACCACCACTTCCTCCATCTCCCCCAATTCAATCTGCCAAATCTCCTTCTCTGAATGCAGAGGAACACTCGCATCGGTGTCGGCCTCAACTCCGACATTCTGGCGGGTACAATCTACCTCCGACAGCACCGGCTCACAACGAAAAGGTCCCGACCAATGCTTCTCCAACCCCCTCCGACGCGCGGGATGTGCAACTCTCCGAAAACACAGCATTGTTCATCGGTAATGTAGGATTCAACGTCAGTGAAAAGATGATCAGCGATGTCTTCGCCTCAAAGGGATTTTTGATTAAGGTTCACCTCCCACAAGAGTCTGAAACTGGGAAGCACGCCGGTTTTGGTTACCTGCAGTTCCCGTCAGTGCATGCAGCTAAAGCTGCCTTGGACGCTTTACAGGGTGAGCACATTGACGGGCATGCAATCAACTTGGAATTCAGTGATCATTCTCCCATTCTTGGGCTGCAGCCACCGGAAGCTCACTCCCAACCCAGTTCTTTGGCCAGTGTCACTCCCCTTGCTACCAGACCATCGGAGCTCCAGGGCTCCGTAGCGTCATCTTTGACGCATGGACCTAACGATGCTCGTTCGAAGAGCGCAGTGAAATCAACTCCCGCTGACCTTTGCTCCGAGATGAAACACAAGCAAGACGGCGCGATCTCCACGAATGGCTCGGAAAAGCTATCAGAGGAGGATGCTGAGCGACTCAACATCCTCTTTCCGTCTGTCCTGCCTGGGGGTCCTTTGCAATCGTCCAGGTCGAACAGTATCCCCTCTAATTTGTCGGATTGGACTGCCGATATCGACCATCACCGTTTCCCACCAATTTCACAGATAGAAGCGCAGTTCCGCGCCACGCATTGCCATCCGACCACAAGGGCTCGAGGTGTTTCGCCGGATGAACGTCCCGAACGTCTGAATGCTAATTCTACATCATGGGACATTCCGGGTACATATCATCAAGAATCCAACGACGATGCTGCTAGACCTTCAGGTACTTCTCAAAGCCGCTACAAACCAGACGCGCTCGGGAGTTCCCTTGGCTCCCATCGCCATTATCGACGCTCAAGGACCATGAAGTATCCTCGCTCATCCTGGCACGGTCCTGGTGCTTCTGGATCTGTAGAAACCGGGCCATCTCGACATTCACACGGCCGGCCCAAGCCAGGATTCCACCATCGTGGTTCTCTGCATGAGAGTCCTACGAACTCACCTTCCCGGACCCCGCAAATCTCACCTGAAATGCAACAGAGGAGTATTGATGCATGTGTGGCAACCTTGGTTGATCTTGGTTATGGTGGTGAAAACGATGGCGGCCTCCAGCGCATCGCAGTGTATGCCGCGGCTGCAGACGCCAATGTGCTCGAAGCTATTGACATGATCGAAGAGGAACGGAAAGCCTATGAGCAACAAAGAAACATGATGTAAAAACACATGACGTGAGACCCAATGTTTTGGTTCTTGCTATTTATTATGACTGCGATTTCGCTATGATTATGCGTTCCGGCTGGACTGAGGACCTGTTCTTATGGGATTTCTATTTCAAGATTGATAATAGCACTCTAATCAGAAAATACTATCGCAATTGGGGCATATTAACTTATGATCTTCTTTCGGGCCGAAAAAAAACCATGAGTAGCATTTACACCACATAGTAATACATCTAAGTTGAAACATCCCGCTCACGGCGGGCGGAGCTGAATCATCAGGCCGGGCGGTCTCCGCTTTTTTCTCCGCGACGCGACACTCTGCAGCTTAGGACTTACTTCGCCAACAGCTGCAATTCATCTTTCTTGCTACCTGCTCCCTCCGTGCACCCAAAATGCGGCTTTGGCGTCGGTCATTCGTCACATCCATAGCGAGACTGAATTCAAAGCCAGCCGCGACGACCTCCGGGCCTCCGCTTCTCCGGTGCGCGCAAGTCCTCGATAAAAGCCGCACAGAGCCCAATAGCTTGGAAGATCAGGAGATCAAGTTACAGGGATATATCAGTCATGTTCGCAAACACAAGCGCTTTTCCTTTATAGAGTTCGGCGATGGATCGACGGTCAATTCTCTGCAGGCTATGGTGAGTACGGCACAGGCTGCTGGGTATGTTCTATCGAGCCCTCTTTCTCTACCATCTTCTCCTTAATAAGGTCGACAAGTCAATTAATCTTGCCTTTGTTTCTACAGGCTAACTAAGGGAACAACGCTGGAAATCACAGGAGTCTGGAAAGCATGTCCCCCAGGCAAGTCCCAGACGCATGAGCTGCATGCAACATCAGTAGACATTATAGGCGAAACGAACGCCGAGGTAGGCCTATATCCTCCTCAGAAGTTCAAGGGTTATGGATCTAGGACATTCCTGTTAACTGGGCACTTTTTTAGACCTTCCCTATCCAAAAGAAATACCAGAGCGTCGACTTTCTCCGCCAAATCCCACATCTCCGCATGCGAATCCCCTTCAACTCCCTTCTCTCACGGTTCCGATCTGAAGTTCTATATCAGCTTGGCAGTGTATTTCGAGATGCTCCCAATGGAGGATTCGTGCAGGTGCAGCCACCTTTGATCACATCGTCGGACTGTGAAGGCGCAGGGGAGACGTTCACTGTCTTACCTCGGGAGGCGCTGGGAGCGTCCGCACTCCCAGTCGACGGCGAGCACTTCTTCCGCTCACCCAAGTACCTCACGGTCTCGTCGCAGCTACATCTGGAGGCCTACGCGGCTGAGCTAGGCAATGTCTGGACTCTGTCGCCCAGTTTCCGGGCCGAGCAAAGCGACACGCCGCGCCATCTCAGCGAGTTCTACATGTTGGAAGCGGAGGCGAATTTCATGCATGATCTGGACACTCTTACCGATCTCGTCGAGCACCTGCTGCGCGACCTCACGCGCCGGCTCTACGGTACCACTGTCGCACAAGAATTGATCGCATACAAGCGACCTGTAGAGGAAGGCAAGGAGGACGCCAGGCCTGATCTTCTGCCCCGTTGGCGCGCCCTAATGGACGGGCCCAAGTGGCGACGCATGACTTACACTGATGCGATCGAGAAGCTTCAGGAGGCTGTGGCCACGGGCGGCGCCTTATTCGAGTACCCGCCAACGTGGACGGGGGGGCTGCAGCTCGAACACGAGAAATACATCGTAGATGTGCTCAACCACGGTCAGCCGGTCTTTGTAACCGACTACCCGAAGGCGATCAAGCCGTTTTACATGGCCCCGTCCAGGGAGAACAGCAGCAGCCGTCACGGCGGCGAAACTGTCGCGTGCTTTGACCTCCTCCTACCCGAGGTCAGCGAGGTCGCAGGAGGGTCTCTCCGCGAGCACCGCCTCCCCGAGATCATCCAGAACATGCGTGACCACGGCCTAATCAGGCAGGCAGCCGCAGCTGCAGCGACCACTGCCAATGAAAACGGGACGAGCAATGCCCCAACGGACGTCGACTCGTCATCTTCCGCTGCCTACCCCCATCTCCTTCCCGGGGAAGACCTGGGTCATCTCCAATGGTACGCTGACCTCCGACGCTGGGGCACGGCGCCGCACGGGGGATTCGGAATGGGCTTTGATCGGTTCTTGAGCTACTTGGCCGGGGTGTCCAGCGTACGAGACGTGGTCGCGTTTCCTCGCTGGTTTGGTCGGGCGGATTGTTAGCCGGTGTTTGTGCTTTCTCGTCCAAAGGGGGGAAAAGGAGCCGAACTATGTATATCTATGTATACCATTCACTCGCAGACATGAAGAGGACAAAAGGCAATCAACCGCCAGGAGTATCTTCTTTTTCAGGCAATCTCTCACTCACCTACTTACCTACCTACCTTCTTATCATGCACAGCCCAGTTGGGATCCATGACAAACATAAGCATAAGCATAAGCAATAAGCACTTGCATAGCCCCGACCACATACGACTCGACCAGGATAGATAAATAATCAAGTACATACAAAACACCATACCAACCCAAATCCAGCAACGGGCCCAGTCTACCTTACTTCTACTTCGGAGGTACAGCATGGTACATCTCAACAAGCTAACTAGTTTGCAGAGGCAGGACCTATCCCTATCTAGGCAACACCTCCCACTCAACTCGACACTCATCATTTAAGAATTGAAAAGAAAAAAAACCACAATCATAATAAAAGGAGTGGGTGGCGACGTATGAGGGATTCATCTTTCAGAGAAAGGAAGAATGAGGAAAAATCGTTCAAGCAAAACCATCCTCCACCCATAGTAATCTTTAATTCCTTCTTCCCCCTTCCCCTTTCCTCATGGGAAGAAGGGGGGGAGGGGTGGTAAAGGGGGGTCCAATCCCTCTAGTCAATCCGGCAAGATCGGAAGTTGTATTATTTTCCGAACCACCCTCGTTTAGCTCATGACCAAGGAGAGAAAGACAAACAAGTCATACTACTAACTGAAAGTCTCATCCAGTCACTTTTACCAACTGGATCCGTGCGCCACTTGTCTTGGACTGTGTGACCCGGGGGTGGTGGCCCGTTGCCCTTTGAATCTGAAAGAAAGACACTTGTTAGACACGTAGTTACAGTACAGTCTAGGATGTCCGAGCATATAAAGGGAGGAAGCTCTCGTGATCTTTGAGAGAACGGACGGGGCTGATCGGGTTTCCGGGTTGTTGCTTCTCGTATTCCGGGGAGAAATCCTTCCACTTCACCAGGCTTAAGGTGATTATAGGTGGAAAGAGGGAGATTACCTATGACGCCACCAAGTGTTTTAAAAGAGGGATGTGGCAGGCAGTCGATTTGCGCTTGGTGCTTTAGGGGAGTCTTTAGCTAGCTAGGGTTATTGGTGTTGTGGTGTTGCTGGTTGTTTTGATTATCATGTATACTGCAGATATAAGTTGACTATTCAATATGTATAGTGATAATTGTCTGTCTATCGTAGCTTTTGAAGAGAAGAAACAAATAGAGGCTTTGAGTTTGGAGACTAGATTTACTAAAAAGAGCGTCTGCTCTCAGATGTCGTATTATGGGGTTGACAGTACATGCTATCGGAGTGTTGGGTTGGATATCTTTGTGTAGACGTGCAACTGTCCGTCTATCGCCTAGCTTGCGCATGCTTTGGTATCCTGTATAGTTCAGGCAAATAGGATTGGTAAGGCTTCTCGACGGCGCAGGTACTCTAATCGATAAGGCTTGGCTGGTTGGCTACCAGGTGAGGTCCCATTTGCACCACCTACAAGTGATCAAAATCACATGAGGGCTGACTGTAGGGCTGGGGGCCGGGAAGAACGAGGCTGGTTATGTGTGCGCTAGTGCTTGTCCTTGACGCAAAATTGATATTCTTCGTTTACTGTGTAGAGGATAGACTTGCAACACGAGAACGGATACGGATGTGTCTCATTTCCAACTTGGGAGACGTGGTGGAATGATATATGCTCTCTTTTCTTAGTGGGAACTGCTTCGCTCTTGAAGTTGATACTGCGCGAACTGTGTGACTGGCTATGCGGGTTGCAGTTCGCCTCTCTAGCTATGTCCCAAAATCTTTTGCATGACAGACTGTTCTCGAGGGCTAGTATCAAGCGATATTCTACATGCCAAGTCATCCCTACCGAGACTCTTCTGGTAACAGTAAAGGATCTCGAAGCAACCGCTCCATATCCTCTGCCCGAAGATGCACGGAGATGTCTACGCCATAGTCTGTCCAATCGGTCAGCGACGAGTAACCTTCAGCTCCTGCAACCCCAGCGGGCGGTGCCTCCTTGATCAAGACAAGCCCATCCAAATTCTCAAGCACGCCGTCAGCGTAGCGAATCGTCCTTTCTGTGTCCGATCCCAACCCGAAATCCACTTCGTACAGACCGGCACGCGCCCATGTCGTCACCATGGTATGCCGTTGACCCAGGAATCCCGTCCAAATCCGCTGCGGGGACTTCTCGTACGCTATCCGGTGCAAATAAGCTCCCAAACTCGCTGGATCGTTGAGACGGGCTACGGTCTCGCGGATGCGCTGCGCTATATGCGAAAGCGAGAGACTCTCCCGCCCATCCTCAGCGAAAGATGTTGCAGTCACCACCTTGCCCGTGAGCTCTATATTCGCCATCAGTATGGGTGATCCCAGAAAAGCCTCACTGAGATGAAACACTGGCCGGAGTCCACAGGAGAGATCACAGTGCACCGGGCCGTTGTCATCTTGCATCTGCCTTGCGCGGTTGATGGACGACCAGATGTGAGCCAGGATGGCATCGTGTCGACTAATTCGACTGACCGCGCCGCCTCGCGCTTGTTCGTAGATGACGTCCACCTGGTGTCGGGTGAGATGTAAGACGAAGTAGGATACGGGCGCCTTAAGATCCCACTCTGACCAAGGGATGTGGTTGCCTACCGGGACGATCTCTCCATGACGGAATGCTTCAGGGACGTCAGACGAACGTGAAGATCCAGGTTCTGGATTCCACCAGTCATACCGATGAATGGGTAGCTTCTCGGCTTGCCGGAGGACTCTTTCGTCCGGCGCATCCGCATCGATGTCACCTGCAGCCAGAGCATCGACTTGGTCCGGTCGAAAGACTGGAGCCAAGACTGGAAGGTGGCTTTTGCGCAGTATCGCTCGGCTGATGCTCGCCCAGTCCTTCACAAAATGTACCATGGTTTGTGCGTCCGCCAGCGGATGCGCGAATTTCACGGATAAGACAAACCCTCCGCAGGTGAGATGGGTGATCTGGATGGCCATTGCGGGTAGGTGGGCGCTTTCGGCGCAAACGCCAGCGTCGCAGAGCGGATTAGTAAGTCGCGTCGAGGGAACAAATTCGCTGAGATGTGTAGCAGTGCGATCCCAGAACGGCTGCGTGACGGTCCGAGAGACAGGATGGAGTTGATCTAGCGACACAGTGGCTTGCGCCGTGACGAACTCCACCCCAGGGTCTCCTCGATGGCCATAACAAATCGACACACGACCGAATCGTTGGGTATGAGGCACAGTGCGCTTGTTGACCGTGGTCACTGCCAGCAACTGGCCGCACCATTGAGGATAAGCGTCCAAAGCGATAGTAAGGGATTGACGAAGATGGTCCACCAATTCAAGTCGATGTTCACGTGCAGGGGGTTCGCAGAGCCAGGCCGCGCAAGTCGCGGAGTAGTCCACAGTGGTGGCGTCCAATAATGACAGTGGCACGATTCGCTCGGAGCTTAGCTTTGCGTTTGGGTAAAGCCTCTCGCACGTCAATCTCGTGGTTGCATGGCCCGCCATTGTGATTGGTATTCGCTTCTTCGATGCTGGGATTATGAGAAGAGTCGCCCACCAGACGCTTTTATAGGTGGCGCGATATACGCTACCCATCAGATCTTCTTCATACTCCCGCGCATTTTCCCGTACACTGAGACTTTCAACAGCGCTTCGTTCACCTCGACAAACCAGAACGAGGCATCTTTGTGCAGTCATTATTACTCATGATGATTGTCATGCGTCTTTTCTCAGACCCTGTAGACAACATGACTCATTAATCTGCCTATCGATAAGTTGGCACAAGTAAGAGTAAGCGCCAAGGTGGAATGGTATGATCGAGACTTTAGTAGGAGTTGACTAGGATAGTGTGAGAAGGGACGACTTCATTATGGTGGTTGCACTGGCCAACACTCATGTCTTTCTCTCATGGAAGCCATAGTTCCGAAACGAGCGACTGATCACGACATTGAATGACAATCTGATGAGCGAACTCGATATGGAGAAGCTGCACAATCCCAGTCCGGGGTGGGGAAGTTGATAGCCTCTCCGGAGTAACTGCACGTGATGGGGAAAGGGAGGAGGACACGAAGCGGCAGGATCAGCGGTGAGATACTGCCGCGAGCGCACATGATCAGACAAGGCTTTGCCCGCGTCACCTCCTGCTTATTATCTTAATATTATTGTTATGCCTACGGAGTAATATTTTCCAATTATTATTACCATCATTACGAGTCAGAGAAGCTAGACTTGCGAGACTCACTACTACTCACTTCCCTCAAAGAAGGGGGGGCCAAATAACTTGCACTCCCTTCGGCCCCATGTTCCTCTTTGACTTTTTATTAATACGAGTTGATACAAATTTTAGAATCTCTTCTGCTAAGTCCGAAACGTACACCCACCTGCACAACAGGAAGTAGGTTGGGTTACATTATCATCCGTTAAGAGTTAAGAGGGGGGAAGGAAGGCTGGCGGATCAGTCGGAAAATCCGGTCTGGGCATTTGCGCGCATATCCGCTCCATCCTTTCGTCGAGAATTCGATTTCTGGAAGGTCTTTCCTGTGAGATCCATCGAATTATCCCAGGAGGGAGGGAATGGTGGACCTAGATTCGATTATCTGGTACTCGGGAGCGGCGGGATGCCTTTGTGAAAGACGAGCTCTCCACAAGGGTGTCTCTCTTCTCCCCTCTTTCCCTTTCATCACAGACGACTTGTGGCTTGGGTCCCTCCAATTCAAAGAGTTTAGTCTTTCTCTTTCTCGAGGCAACGACTCGAAGAAGAACACTACCCAGAACCAAAACCAGGTATCAGGGGCGGGCGCGAGTCTAACCGACCGGGAAACTCTGGAAAAGCCAAGATTATGATTTGGCCCATCACTTGCCCATCTGGACAGAAAAAGAGACATGGTGACCCACCCCGAACGGATACTTTATTCCCTCCAAGCTGCGGTCTGGGCGGAGCCCTCGCTAGAAACAGACCCGACGCACTCCTCCCCGAATCAGGCTCGCTGGGCCGCGATCCACCTCGTCTACGATGAAGGGGGGGGGGGGGGTGTTGGTTTTCTTTGCTCGGCAGAAATTCCATGTCCGACGGCCTTGTTCTTCTTTTCCATTTTGATCAAGTGGTTTCAGATACGAACCCAAGTTCCCCCCTTTTTAAAATTTAGTGGTACCCAGCTTCCGGAAAGGGTCATCAATAAGTCAGGTAGGTTCAGAGCAGAATCTCGGCAAGCATGCGTACTGCGCCTACGAGTCGGGGAAGAGGGGGAGGGCTCGATCCTCGGGTTCGGCACGAGGCTCCATCGCCGCGGATTTTGATTCAGGGTCTTGAGAACTAACCTGCCTACTCCGTACACGCTTGGGCTTCATGAGTAGGTCCGTGATAGGATCAAATACTGCAGGGCGTTCTGCGCCTTCGTCAGACGGGTCATACGGTATACGGTGTATCTAATATTTATGGTAATCTATTAGGATAATAGATCAACAATGACTCCACCTCAAACTACACTCTGACAGGCTCTATCTATACACGCCATCGGACCCAACAACTGGTCAAACATGACGATGTTCAAGATGTGCATAGGAACTTACCGCGAAAGGAGAGTAGAGACGGAGAGGGTCAAGTCAGATTGATTGCCCACGCGGAAGAAGGGGAGGGGTTGAGGGGACCGGGGCAGAATGCCAAGTTGCCAACCTTACTGGTGTTAAGCATATTCCCTCGGTCTTTCTCCGGCGTCTGACGGAATTGGAACATTAGGCGCAGGGTGATAAAAAAACAATCCCATCAGCCATGATGGGCCACATGAAGCCTTGGTCTTGAATTTCATCCCGTTCTGTCGCAAGTGCCAGCAAGCTTGACTGAGAAAGGCAGCCCGAAGAGATACTACTTCGCAGTTCCGTAGGAGTAATGAAGTATTGAGAATCAAATGGTTTTGTCTCAAATTACAAATAGGGTGGAATGGATTTTGCTGAACCATTTTTGGGGACGGTCACTGCCTAGAACGGAGACCCGTGGATTGCCTCTTCGTATCGTATCGGCTGGGAATTCTCTCGCTCGGCAACCTGACTAATCCACAATCCGATGGATGATGATTCGGGATGATGAGGACACCTGTACAGTTTACCCAGGTCTGTGGGATGGTTGAATTGTGCAAGTTTCTCTATGCGTCTTCCCTATTTTCCAAGACCAAGCGCCCCCTTCCCCCTCTCCTTTGTCGGCTTGGGGGCTGGTAGTTGATGATTATTAGTTAGTTGGTTAACTACCAATTTCCATCACGTTTACCTGATTGATTCCGCAGCTTCCTTCCTCCTCCAGGCTTTAGGAGGGGGGGGCCCAGGTCTTGGGTCCGTGGTACGGGACTGTCGGCTCGGCACCGCTCTTCCCACTGCTCAGCTGTCCGCAAGCCCAACTTGGGACTGAAGTCTCCCCTTCTCCAAGCGAACGGAGACAAATTTGAATAGGGCAGGTGGTCAAAGTTTCAGATTAATGGCTGATCAAGTCGCCACTTCGATTCATGAGGCCTCGGAGTAGTTAACGGCTGCCAACACTCAGATCCCAGTCACTTCCTGTGTGAAAGTACAGTACCATGTATGATGCAACGGAAAAGAGCACGTATGACAGTGAACTCAACTCAGTAGGACAACACCTTTCACTTTTATTACCTCTTGGAAGAAGAAAACGAGAGCAGAAGCTTGAAGGGGTTTTCAGGATACTCAGGATACAATCAAAGACACCGGGTTCAAGGCATCACTCAGTGGGCTAGGATTGGCAAAGCCTTGGTCTATCTAAATATACTGGTATACTGTGTTAAACCTAAGGAGGGGGAAGGGGGCAGGTGGGGCGAGGGGGGCAGCAGTAAGAGGAAGTCCAGTTGGAAAGATCGTTGTAGTCAGCCGTGAAGGCTTGGCTTCTGCAGCGCTTGGACGCTTGGAGCTCGAGTTTGACCCAGGATAAGGATCCTCGGTTATGGACTCTTCCAAATCTTATGCTTACGGGGCAGATACCACTTACAGATAAGCAGTCTGAGAAACACAATCAACTGCGCACAATAGTTGGTCAGTCTATCTCCCAGGCGGGAGATTACACAAGAGGGCACCATCGTGAGAGTACCAACACGAGCAGGAAAAGCGTGAACTAGACAGGGGACGGGGAACAAGAGAACAAAAAAGTCCAGAAGCTGGCCAAGGATATGGTGATCCTGATCGTCTAGCCTAGTACGGACCCACGGAGTCTCATCTCAGTAACGTAGGCAATAGTTCAGAAACTAGGGCTGCCATAGTGGGCGCCCAGAGCGATGGTCTCGGAGTGTCACTATTGCTGTAAGCTATAAATATAATCTTGTCATTCGAGAGTTGGCTTGATTTAGATCGGTACTATATATTACTTGGTATGTAAGTGATTGAACCACTCGTAAGTCATGAATCTGCATTTCTGCCTGACTCGGAGTAGTCTTTCTGCCCTTAGTGCTTGTTTGACTTTTGACTCTCGGAGCGTCAACCCCTCGCTGCTCCGTACCTTAACCTAATTCAAGTAGACTAAGTCTGATCCATCATGATTATGACGCCCCAAAAGAATGACACCCAGAAAAAAGGAGGGAAGCTAGAACAGAAGATCCCAGTCCGCAATGGCTATCTCGGGTAGTTAATCTGCGAGTGCAACGATCCGTGTCGATGTTGACTTAACTATGAGAAAAAGGAAGCTTGCACTTCCAAGGGTTGGATCTGGAGTTGTCCTACGTAGTTATATTGGAAAAGTTCTGTGCACTCGAGCATATACATGATATCCTGTGTTGCCCCAACACCGATCCTATGCACTGTGAGGCATTATACAAGGCGAGAAGAGATCCTACAAGCAAGGCTATAAATTGGACGCAAGAACAGCCCAGAGCTGAACTTGTACCGCCTGCTTGTCATTCGAATAGGAGGATGAGATTGCACCAATAGAATTACTTGGTCGGACTTTTCTTTTTCTCGTACTGTACCATCTAGCTTAAATCAATTATGCTACTGGAGATAAGCAAGCCCCCGTGTAACATTTCACAAAATAGCGCCCCTTGGGACTTGGAACATCTCTCGAATCAAGGGTTGCCTTTGAGGTATGACCATACCAGTTGACGACAGATGTCACAACCACAGCCAGATAGATCTTCATGCGAAAGAGATCCCTGGAGTGTCCTCTTCGCTTCCCTCGTGTGACTCTGAACATGCAAGGGATCTTGCTTTTTTATCCCAGGAGAAACTCTTCCAAGGCACAGAGCAAGAAGAGGACGAAGACAGACTCGTTCTAATGTCTGATGACATCGAGCATGGTTCAGGTTCTGCCATCCCATTTCCCCCCAATTTATCCGGCCTGTTCTCTCAATGCGATGAACAATAGAAGCAAGCCCCATGATCATACCACAGTCGCTGACAATCTAAACCGGAACGAGAAAGTGATATTTCGGTCCAGCCACTTTGAAAAGACGTTTAAAGTATTTGTGGTCGTAATCACAATCAACTAGCAAGGGTCATCATTCCCAAGTACGTAG